TCTACCTACTGAATTACCTGCAGCGCTCTGCCGCTCGTTTCCTCTTTTTATGTTGCGTACACTCACGTGTTGCTCGGTCGTTTCGAACCTTTTTGGCTTGTGACCTCTTCAAACAATGCCGTGTCTATTTGTAGTCCCTTGTCAAAGGTTGTATATCTCTAACCTTCGTGGGCAGTTAGCTGAAGAGTCGTTTTTCCTTCTCAGATTGATTTATTTGAATTTTAGGAGCCTACAGAGGGAAAATTATCGAGTAAACAGCAAAACTTAGAGCAAAGTCTGAAAAAAATGGACGTAATTTTGAGTTGCAGACGATAAAAACGATTTTTTCCTCAGCCATTAATCATATTATGACCCCTGGGGTTTATTGTACGACCTCTTTGGGTGGTCCTGACCCACATGTTGGGAAGCACTGTGGTGTTTACACCTTGTAGGTAACCCTAAACTTAACCGTAACTTACCTAACCTTAACCTTTACTCGACCCCAGTGAAGACAGGAACCATTTTAGCTCGTGAGTAAATGTAAACGTCTGCGAAACCAAATCTGGAACCACAGACTCTGAACCTCAGCAGCTCAAGAGTTAAAAATTATACAAAATATACTCATGATGAAGACGCAGGTTTCTGTACCCTTGGGCTCCCCTGGCCGTGGGTGACCCTGGGAACGAGCGCCCGCATGTTCCTCCTCCTGTCATCAGCTGCAGATGAACTGTAGCTCAGCTCCCCGGTGTCTGTTTGTCCTGTATGCACAGAAATCACATCCCCCCCCAGGAAAAAAAAAAAAAAGGTGAAGGGTGTACAAGCCCCCCCCCCCCCCCCCCCCCCCGTCCTCTGCCTGGATCATCAACGCTCAGATCCCCCGCACCTCCTCCCCCCCCCGCCCTCCGACTGAAAATAGCGTACCTCTCGCTGTATGGGCCAAGCAGGCCGAGGCGGCAGCAGGTGACATGATTGCACCGAATGGGACAATGCTTGGAGAGTATCGGAGCAGATATTTTGGAAATGTCACGCACTGGCATTATTAACATACCCCTCGTGTTAGCCTGTGTGCGGAGCTGTCACAGTGAGCGAGCGGGGCAGGCAGGGCTGCAAAGAGGAGGAGATTTATTATAGTTTTCATCAGCGGGGCACATTGCTCAGGACACACTGCCGGTTCAAAGGCTTGTCACATAATTTCTATCATCTATTTAAAGTCAAATTCCGGCAACAAGCAAAAGGGCAGCCGGCTGTGTCAAGAGCACGGCAACGACTTTGCATTCCACAGATGTCTGCTCCTTGGAAAAGAAATGCCCTGTTAAAATTGCCATGTTGAACTACTTTCACTCCAATGGAAACATTAAATGCTGAATCGCCCACCACCAAGCACCATCCAACCAACCACCACCACCACACACATCACCACCATCAACCACCCGTTATGAGGAGGGAAAAAAAAGGCTCATTTTGCCAGGATGGGTACTCAGCTTTCACGAGGTGTGCTGCGAGAGAACTTCAAGGGGCTCTGTGACAAAACACGCTGATTTCTGCCGTTTTCATTTCCACCATGTGCTCCTGCCTGCACGAAGGGGGAAAACGTCTCACGCCGCCCGGCTGTCCGCTCACTGAGAAATGGCTTCATTTGCGTTGTTAGCATTCCCAATGGAAACTAATTACGGTCTGTAGCTGTGAGCTGACGCTCCGCCGTTTGATTTCCTGTCGGCTCGTCACTATGCACCCGCCAGACGCGCAGTTTTGGATGAATCAATATCAATGTGTTTTCACAAACAAAATGTAAGTAGTGAAAGTGCAATAGCCAAAAGTGACCAGTTTCATGTATTCACCCCTCCTCTTCCCTCTCCCTCTCTTCTCCTCCTGAACACTTTGGGAAACCAAATTAAAGCTTTTCTGCCATTCTGAATTAGGAAAGAGTGTGAGTGTGTTTGGAGGGGGAGGTGGGGGGGTAATCCTCAAATAGCCTCTGGTGTTTTGCACACACTCTCACCAGCTTGTTTTCATCAGTGTTGTGTAGTGTTGGTGAAAGGCTGGCGGTGCTGAAGTCTCCCTGTGTTCAGACAATACAATAGTGAGGAATACTGCAGACGCATGCTGATGGATGTTTGGTTATAGTATTATATCTTATTAGTTATATTGTTTGAGACTATAGTTTAATTGAAGCTCTATTGTTATTTTGATAAACGT